ATTCCCAGCATCTGGTATCCAGAGGGTGTGTGGAGAAGGATGGGGGAGCCACTATGGGAGTGTTGCCAAGCGCCCCCCAACCATGGATCTGCTCTGGCTTGGACCTCACATGGGAGAGTATGGGGCCTGTTGTGTGATACAGTCATCCTGTGATGACGGTGAAGGCCCAGAAAGCGGAGCAGCAGCCAGATGAACTGAGAACATGCTCCAGAGCCCCCTGCAAAACAATGTTCCTCTGTGACGGATGCTCAGAGGTCTTCTCAATATGGAAAAGCTTCCCAGAACTTAGAACCACTGCTTTAGACCAGTCTTTCCCTACCTGATCACTCTTCAGATATTGTTGGACTACAGCTCCCATCATCCCTGACCATTGGCCATGCTAGCTGTGGATGATGGACATTGTAGTCCAACAGTATCTAGTAGACACCACGTTGGGGAAGACAGTTTTAGACAGCCTCCACGTAGAACTCATACCAATACCCAGAATGCACTTCATGCTTAATCTTCCTAGATTGCATCTCAAAACACAGCAAAGGTTTGTTTCTGAATGTTCCACTTTATCCCCACCCCTTTTTTTATTAACTTTGTCGGTTCGTAGCCGTAATGCTTTGCTTTCATTGGAAGAAACCAGGAGAGCTGGGGGTGGCTATCTGATCTGTAATCCTAGGCAATCGCCTGAGGCTGCAAACACCTCCCTGGTGAGAGTAGGCGGTACCATTTTGACTGCGTAAGGACTAGCACCCACCCTTAAACATCACCAATCGAGGAAATTATAGTTTCAAGAGTAGGTATCCTAGAAACATGCAACCTCAGGTCCAAACTAGAGAGAACACCACTCACACAGTGAGCAATTGTGTGAATGACGATTATAAAATAAATTTAAATAAAGTACATATTAACACCAGGCAGGGGCCTTCTTCGTCCTTTTTTTTTTTTAATTGTCTTAAGAAAACTATACAGACAGCAAAACGAAGAAGCCTAAATTAACATTGCCTTCCACCAATAAGAAATAATAATAACTATTACAATAATGAGAATACTAACAATACATTTACTTCCCTTTTAAATTTCTATTCTGGTTACAATATATTACTATTCTATAAGAAACTAATATATCCTTTGCTGTTCCATATATTATTTTATTTCCGAAATTCAACCTAACCCTCCCCTCCTCCCCCCGCTTCCCTTCACCCGTGTGAGATCTTCCCGTCATAAGATTTTTTTTCTAGTTGCTTTAATAAGATAGAATAACATGGAAACTGTTAAATTATAATTACCGTATTTTTTGCTCCATAACACTCACTTTTTTCCTCCTAGAAAGTAAGGGGAAATGTCTGTGCATGTTATGGAGCGAATGCCTACGGATAGCGGGGGGATCTGCTGCAGTCGTGAGCAGAGGATCCATGGTTCCCCTTCCTTCCCTCCTCCGTGGCTCGCTTTGCTCGCTTTGAAACAGCAAAGCGGGAGAAGAGCCGCTTAGTGGGGCGAAGAGAGGGACAGAGAGCCTGGTTACAAAGCACAGATCCACATGGATCCTCAGGATTTTTGCACTGGGTCACCCCAAATTCACCATCAGATCACATAGCATGTCCATGGCTACAGCTTGCACCAAAAAAATCACGCACCCACTGTTGCCTGGGGCCGCAGTGGTGCAAAAACGTGGGTACAAAGCATGGATCCACATGGATCCTCAGGATTTTTGCATTGGGCTACCCCAAACTCACCGTCAGATCACATGCCTGTGGCCACAGCATGAACCACAAAAATTATACATCCACTGTTTCGTTTAGAATATTTTTTTCTTGTTTTCCTCCTCTAAAAACTATGTGCGTGTTATGGTTGGGTGCGTGTTATAGAGCGAAAAATACGGTACTTCTTTTGTCCTTGCACGCTTTTGATGCCTACTAAAAACCATTTTCTTTCAGCAGGTCTGCCCAGACGTGCAATTTTGTTATATATACTTGCTTACATTGGCTTGTTTTTAAAGTCTCCTGGTTTTTATGGTTATTTTGGGGATACAGTCGTACCATGGAAGTCGAACAGAATCCATTCCGGAAGTCCGCTCGACTTCCAAAACATTCGAAAACCAAATTGCAGCATCTCATTGGCTGCAGCAAGCTCCTACAGCCAATCAGAAGCCATGGAATCCCCCTTGGACATTCGGGTTCCAAAAGAACATTCGCAAACCGGAACAATCCCTTCCGGGTTTGCAGCAGTTCGGGAGCCAAAACGTCCAATTTCCAGGGAGTTCAGGATCCAAGGTACAACTGCATATACTTTATACTCCTACTTTTTATACCCTTTCCATTCTAAACTATTTTATGTAAACTGCGTAGAGCTTTTACATAAAAATTAACAAGTATCTAAATTTTGTTAAATGAATCATGAATAAATCAAATTAAATTAAATAGATTGGAAGTGCAGGAGGACCTATCTGGGTAGGGATCCTGGTGGCAGGAAGGGTGTGGAGTTGGGGACTTTAACTGCTCCCCTCACAGACACACTGATCCAGATAGGATATTTGCATTAACTATATGCATGGGGAAAGGCTCCCATTCAGATCCTGTGTGGCCCTCAACCTTACGGTGAATAAGTAAGAGAAAACGATAGAGGTTGGAATGGATTTCTTAAAACTGTAGTAAAAAAACATTGAGGATTTTCCTGCCTGCCCCGCATCACTCTTAACCTTGCAACAACCTCACTTGATATGCGTAATGGCTGCCTATTTTCTACGGAGTTTTCCCATTCTTTTTTCCCGATGCACATGTTCATGCCAGAAAAAGCAAAAACTCCAGCGCTGCCTTCACTGCCCACTGCTATGAATGCGCTTTTCATTACAGGAATGTATGCTTGTGTGCACAACCTGATGCAACCCTTGGGGTTTTCTTTCTCGCTGAGCATCTTCCTGAACATCAGTTAACCCCACCTGATGGTCGACTTTCCCTGTGAAAGGAGGGGCGCATTATCTCTTGTGGAGCTGAGAGGGTCGGTTGCCGAGCAAAGGCATTCCTCGTTGATAGACCAACTCATGGTCCAAATTTCAGTAATTTAGAGGGGAATTAGCAAGAATCAGCAGGCGAGTACATGAAAGCTGGGCAAAATATAGATGGGCTTTCTCACTTTTTATTCCTGAATGGATATTCTTTTTGTGAATGCAGTGTGGGGTGAAAACTGCATTCTTCATACAGTCCTCTAAGAATAAAAAAATCCATTGGATTTTGTAAAGGAGGGTTGGAGAGCCTTTTTCAAACTATGGGATGTGTGCCCTTCAGGGAAACCTTCCAGGTGTGGGCGGGGCCAGAGGCAAAGGTGGGTGGAGCAATTGATGCAAATTTTGCCTTAGGCTAGTTTCTACACACATACACACGCCACCTCTGTGTCAAGCAAGAGGCATGATCAGAGTTCAAGAATACCTTCCAGACAGGCAAAAACAGTCAGGTGGTGAAGCAGAACCAGTGAAGGGTGTTGCCTAGGGCAGACAGAGAGACTTGGAGGCCATATTAGACCTCCAGATCTGATACTTCTTACCAGGGTTTAAAGCCTTGTGTGTAGCAACAGTCAATCCCAATGGAAGGTCAGATGTTCTGTCCAAAGCCCACCTCATGGCCTCAGAAGACTTCTTCCCAATTTATAAGGACCACCTTACATGCTGGATCTGAGGAAGACCCATCTAATTCAGCCTTCGCTTTCCAGAAGCTGCTGACCAAGCACTTCCTCTTTAATTCCAAGGCTACAAGGCTGTCTCCCAGGGGTCATATTTCACTGGCGGAACAAATGCATTGCATGTTGATTAGCCACAGGTTCAAGCCCAGGCTTCTCCAGTGGGGGGGGGGATCGTAGGCAGCAGGCTAACAAAAAAGACCCTGGAGAATCGCTGCCATTTTGGAGCAGTCAGTACTGGGCTTGAAATGACTAATGGTCTGGGCTTAGACTAATGGCCTGTGATTTATTTGCAGAGCATTTCAAAGGGGGAAGGGGAATCCAAGGTGGAAGGGAAACCAAATCCAACCAGCATGAGTTACAAAGGGGTTGAGGCAGGGATGGGGAGCCTGTGGCTCTCCAGATGTTGTAATTCTACAACTCCCAAACCCCTGGCCATTGGAGGGCTGGAGGGCTGCAGGTTCCTTGTCACTGGATTAAGGCTCCTTTCTCATCATTGCTACTTTAGCACTGCCTCCCAACACTGCTTTTCCAAAGAGAAGGGGAAAATGGCGATGAGGGTTCTTATCCACAATTTTGCACAAAGCATGTAGACCACCCCTGGGACTAGTAGCCACTGCATGAACAATAAGTTCATACTGCCATGTTTCTCGTGGGTCTTCATCTATGCTGAAAGAGCATCACCAGGTTCAGGGAATGGAAGCCTCATGCACCCATAGCCATGTTCCCCATACCTGGGTCTCCAGCTGTTTTTGGACTACAACTCCCATCATTCCTAGCTAGAATGATCGGGGTGGTGGAAATTGTAGTCCAAAAACAGCTGGAGACCCAAGTTTGGGAAACCATAGGAAAATAGGAGCCTGTCTTCTGTTGAGTCAGACCATTGGTCCATCTAGGTCAGTATTGGCTACACTGACTGGTAGGGACGCGGGTGGTGCTGTGGTCTAAACCTCTGAGCCTCTTGGGCGGCAGTTCGAATCCCCACCACGGGGTGAGCTCCCGTTGCTCTGTCCCAACTCCTGCCAACCTAGCAGTTCGAAAGCAGACCATTGCAAGCAGATAAATAGGTACCACTGCAGTGGGAAGGTAAACAGCATTTCCATGCGCTCTGGTTTCCACCACGGTGTTCTGTTGCATTTTAGTCATGCTGGCCACATGACCTGGAAAGCTGTCTGTGGACAAATACCGACTCCCTCAGCCTGAAAGCGAGATGAGCGCCACAACCCCAAAGTCACCTTTGACTGGGCTTAACTGTCCAGGGGTCCTTTACTTCTGCTTTTTTTACACTGACTGGCAGAAGCTCTCCAGGGTTTCAGATGGGGGAGATTCCTAGCCCTACTGGGAGAAGCCAGGGATTGAATTTTGGACCTTCTGCATGCAAAGCAGATGCTCTGCCACTGAACTACAACACTTTTCACCAGCTGCTGCTTTAGCAACAGGATTGGCACACCCCTCCTCCTCAGCACTTCCACAAGAGTTAATGCCTTTGGCCTTCACTTTATTGGTACTTGGGGCCAACTGGCTGCTCTGGTTCTTTTGACTCCCACTCTGCACCTTCCACCTTTTGCATGACTGGGGAGGTTCCTTGACATTCTGGTGCTTGGATATGTCCTTTTAATTTGCTGTCCTGTTCTTGCAGAACACCTTTCTTCTAATGCCAGCGATAGCGAAAGTAGCTACAGTAAGTTAACAGATTTCGTTTGGGTCTCCTTTTTTACTTTTGCTTGCCTGTGGTGGTTCTGTTTCTTCTCTCTTCTCCTGCCCCCACCCTCCCCCTCCGCCTTCAAACTTTAAAAAAACACATATATAATGCCTTGTCACTTTTATTATTGGTGCAAATGGCTTGATTTGTTACCAGGTGCAAACAGAAATCAAACCACAGCCACACTCTTCATTTGAAGCATGATACTGTTTTAATTTCCCAATGCATCCTGGGAAATGTAGTTAGCTAAAAGTGCTGAAAATTGTTAGAAGACCCCCATTCCCCTCCCAGAACTAACATTCCCAGAGAGGTTCAAAAATCCCTCTTCTCAGGGAGCTCTGGGAACTGTAGCTCTGTGGGGAGAATGAGGGTGGGTGGCGCTGTGGGTTAAACCACTGTACTGCTTGGGCTTGCCGATCGAAAGGTCGGTGGTTCAGATCCCTGTGACGGGGTGAGCTCCCGTTGCTCAGTCCCTGCTCCTGCCAACCTAGCAGTTCGAAAGCACATCAAAGTGCAAGTAGATAAATAGGTACCACTCCGGCGGGAAGGTAAACGGAGTTTCCGTGTGCTGCTCTGGTTCGCCAGAAGCAGCTTAGTCATGCTGGCCACATGATCCAGAAAAACTGTCTGCAGAAGCGGGCAAACACCGGCTCCCTCGGCCTTTAAAGCAAGATGAGCGCCGCAACCCCAAGGTCGTTTGCGACTGGACTTAATTGTCAGGGGTCCCTTTGCCTTTTAACAGCACCGTATATTAACTACAGTTTCCAGGATCCTTTTGGGAAGCCAATTAAAATGGTATAAGAGTGCTTTGAATGGATGACATGAATGAGGTGCAAATACTGGGATGTAGCTCTAAAACAGACATGGCCTGGTTTGATGTGTCCTTTCCAGACAATGTTTTCCTCCCATGATAAATTGGCAGCTTCTTGTGATCCAAATGTTGCCTTCCAAGAAAGTGGTTCAGTCAATATGTAAGAAAAGTCCTGCTGGATCAGGCCCAGGACCCGTTTAAATTTAGCATTTATTTTCCTACACTGACTAGGGAAAGGGGAGAAATTCCCTTTTGTTTGCATTTTTATGAGAAAGTGCCTAATTCACACACGACGAACCAAAACACAAACCGAATGGGGAAATGCATGTCATCGGGGGGAAAGTGTGCACATAACAGTGCATATAAGTGCACATAAGTGTGAAAATAACAGGCAAAAATGCATGGCATTGTGGGAATTGCTTGCAGGACACTTATTTATTAAGAGAGATTCACACTAAAATGCACTAGGGTGTTATTGTCTGTAAGCAAGTTGCGCAGATGTGCGGGGAACCGAATTGAAGTCTCTAAAAAAAATGAAAAAATTGAGAGAAATTAAGACTGACAGATCCATTCATATGTAACAGTTTAAAAAAGCCCTGCTGGATCAGACCAAAAGCCCATCTAGTCCTTAAGTCTGTCTTCACCTTAGGCAACCAGATGCCTATGGGAAGTTATAGAATCATAGAGTTGGAAGGGACCTCAGGGATCATCTAACCCCCTTGGGTGGGCTCAAACCACCAACCTTCTGGTTAACAGCAACCTTCTGGTTAACTGACCCACTGTGAGTGCAACAGTGCTCTCCCCTTTTGAAACAGCCCTCCCTTCTTGCTGGTACCCAAACACAGTGTTCAAATTTCAGGGGCCAAAACGTGAGCCTGCCTTCCTTAAACTTTTGTGGCAGCTCTGTTGGCTGCAGGTAGCATCATTTGACTATGATTTAGAGGAGGCAGGGGTTGGCACTTGTGCATTTCAAAAGTGCCCTCCAAACCAGGATGCTACCTGATTAGGAACTGGCAGGGGTAGATGGAGAGGAATACGGAAAGTTGCCTTAAATCAGGTCACACTGTTTGTCCAAATAGCCTCATGTTGTCCGTTCTGGTTGGCAAAATTATTTCACATCACCCCGCTAACTGGCCATTGAACTAGATGTGTTAGGGGTTGAACCTGTGATTTTCCGCTTTCATGGGATTGTGTCCAACTCAGTTTTACTCAGAGTAGGTCCATCAAAATTAATGGACCTAAGTCGGGCACGGCTATAACTTTCTCTTACCACCACCCTGGTGGTGGGAAATTCCATTTACAGCGCAATGCTGTGTTTACTCAGAAATAAGTTCAACTGAATTCAGTGGGGCTTACTTCCTAATAAATGTGTTTAGGATTGCGGTCATAATAGGCTTGGCTTTGAATGTAAAATATCCCTGGTTCAAACCATGGCATCTCCATGTAGGGCTGAGAACAACTCCCACCTGAAACTCTGGAGGGTAACTAGTTAAAGGCATAGCCAATGTCTGTCCTCCAGGTATTGTTACATTACTATTCCCATCAGGTCCAGCCAGCATGGCCATTGGGCAGGGATGACAGGAATTTTAACCAGTTCTAACCATCACCTTCAATGGATTTACTCTGAATATGGAGAACATTCAATACAACCCACAGATTACTTATGTTCTCCTCTAAAATCAACTCCTTTGAGGCATTTGGGAACAATCTGTGATTCAGCATTTAAAAGCAAAGGCACTTGATTAACTCGAATTGAACCTAAATTTTCTTGAAAGAAACTGGAGCAAGGGAAAGGCGCTTCCTTCCACATCAGACCAGTGCATGTTCAAACCAGGCCTGAATTCTGATTAGCAATGCTCTCTCTGAAATCCCTGGCCTCCTGGGTACTCTATCCAACAAGCCGTCCATCAAATTATGAGTAGACTTTGTTGGTGCAATCTGAATGGGAGCTGCACAACTGTATTTCCAGAAAGAAAAACGTTGCGATCATTCCCAGTTTTCTTCTGCTGTTTCCTTAACATTTACAAGCCATTTGTAAAGTGTGTGTGTGTGTGTGTGTGTGTGTGTGTGTGTGTAAATGAAGCATGGAGCATCTCTCTCAGTGTACACTGAAATAACCATGGGTTTCATACCCTCTGTAAATAGTCAGAATAGTAATCTACTCTACTTTCTTCCAGCTAAACAAGATATTTTGACAGGTTACATTGACATAATCTGAACTAACATTAATTGACTTGCAAAGCAGTGCCCAGAAGCTAAAGATAGGGGAGAAATGTGTTCAGTTCATATTTCAACAGGAACTTACTTAATTTGCACTTCCTGGACCCATCTGCAGACTGAAACGCAGCTTCTCTTTGAAATTCACACTTCTCCTAATTTTGCAATTCAGGTCTCCAACCAAATATAGATCTCTCTGTGTGTGTGTACGAAAAAGCAAATATTCAGGGAAATCCTGCATTAAAAAGTGCATGTTACTGAACATAACACAGAGAAATGCATTGCATTTAGGAAATTGGCTTGCAAAAATTAAGAGAAGTGCACATTAAAAGGTACATGGATTTTGACACAGACTTTTTCCCCAAAAAAATTACAAGCTGTTGCGGAAATGGGGCAAACTGAATTGAAAAATGAGAAACCAAGAAAAATGGACATTGACAGATTAATCCGTCCCAACCTGGGCAAATGACAGATGCTACCATCTGCATTTTTATTTTTATTTTGCATAACCGCCGGGCATCATGTACAGGGTCAGCTCCAGTCTCAAGGATGAGGCATTCAGTATAGTCTATCTTGAGTCCTGAGGTGTCACCAGGCTTAGGCATGGAGTGGTAGGCTGACAGACAAGGAAGAGGAACAGGAAATGACATCAGGGGTGGCGGAGACAGGGAAACAGAGGCTGGAAGAGGCAGGTACTTCACTCCTCCAGGAAACGACTGCTCTGGCTGGAGAAGCAGGACTCCCACCTCCCTTCTTCCTTCCCAGGAGGAGGAGCACAGAATCCAGGAGGGCATCAACCAACCACTTGGAGTGGAGGAACCAGAGTCAGACGGGGAGGGCACAACCTAGTTGTCTAGAACCCAGCAGCACTCCAGTCACTGGGAATTGACACATCCTCCCCAATGCAATGAGCACCTGCACACTTGACAGTCTTGCAAGGCACAAGAGTCTCCCGAGTAAGCTCCCATGGCCCATCTTTAAAAGCTTGGTGGGTGGGCATGCCAACCCATTGGGACAACTCCATTGCTTCTGTGCAATTTGGAACTCCTTGCCCCGATCTTGGACTCCATAAGCTTGAACAGCTTCTTCTAACCCAGCCTTTCTCAACCTGTGGGACCCCAGATGTTGTTGAACTACAACTCCCATCACCCCTAGCTAGCAAGGCCAAAGCTCAGGGATGATGGGAGTTGTAGTCCAACAACATCTGGGGACCCTCAGATTGAGAACCGCTGTTCTAACCCAACTGGTCGTACCTCTCCTGTCACCCAGCCTGAGCATAAAGGCTGCTTACTGAGCCTGCCTCTCTAAAGATCTCTCCTTTGCTCTCAAGAAAGGGTCTGAACCAGACCCAGGAGATATTCATTTTCTGGTGAGCCTCCCCAGCAGGTTTACTTGGTGCCAGTGGTGCAATGAGATCACTGCCAAGTGGCCACGTTGATAGTCTCCAGTGGCATTACCGCCTTCATCTCCTTTTGGTATCATTGCCTTCCTAGAGGTGTTCGCTTTCTGGCCTCTCCCTGTTTGTTTCCCTTCTGTTAGAGGTAGAGAACAGTATAGCATTATTCTGAATCAAACCATTGGTGTGTCAAGCTCAAGTATGGTCTACACCATGCACCTCCAAACTCAGCCCTCCAGCTGTTTGGGGACTACAATTCCCATCATCCCTGACCACTGGTCCT